AACTTCCTCGCGTACTAGCGTTGGTGGTCCTGAGTCCTGCCACTGCCCAGGGTTTTAGTGCTTACTATGGGCCAGATCGATCTGCCAGTGCCAGAGATTGCAGAACATACGGAATGGCCAGAATCGTCAGGGCCGCGCCAGCGGCGCGGCGCGACGCGGCGCGCCTCAGGGAGCCGGCCGAAGCCATTCACCGTGTGTTATTGTCGGTGGGTCTGCTCGGGGCCTTCGAGTGCCAATGTGCAGAGCGGTGAACCTTCTTCACCAACGCCTCATCAGCCCCAGCGAGAGCCCTGATTGCCTTCCCCAGTCAGTGCCGCAACACCCCACACCCTTCCACCGAGCCCTTCTGGGTGCTCTGGCAAAAACCTACTTGCGAGTACCTTCTCCGGCGGAACTCTTAAGCCACTGCTTCTGAGCAACATAACTAGTGGCCGCCGTAGCAAAAGCCACGTCTTCCCGCTGGCCCTCGTCGGCCGAAGAATGAAATTCAAACCGTACCTTCATTTCTGATAACATGCGATTATTTTATATACACAGGGTTCATATCCATAACAGACAGCGCCAGCGTGGTATATACCATTAGCTTAGACATCGGGTTGCTGGGATTATGAGCCGATCACCACGTGGTTTTTCCTGTTTCTCTTAAGAGCGTGTCGACTGTTAGCGAAAACAGGCATTTATTCATGGCAAATGATATTTGATCTCGACTGAATATGCCGGTATACTTTGTTCTAAAATAGGGTGATGGCTAGTGCTGACAGTTATGTTACTTTGAACATGGACGAAATTCTCGATTTACACACTACGTAGTATCTATGCCATAATGCGAAATGCTAGGTTAGCATTGACGATCGAATAACAAGAATAGAATAGTCATGGGTTCGTCTATACTGACTCCCACTGGTCCATCTACTCTGTATGCGTACGCAATAGAAGTATAAGCGCATGTATCCAGCCGTTCAGATCGCAAAAGTATCTACCGGCTCCCATAAGCCCAGTGCAACGGTGGCACGCTGCTGCCATGAAAACTACCACGTTCTTCATTGGGTATCTCCACGCGACTGCCGACCCAGGCACCATGGCAAAGGAATGCTAGCTTGTATTAGGGCTGTCTTAGTCTGGCACGCGAACGGAAGGTCGGAGATTGGGACATCGGCCAGCATCCGGGAAATCTTATTGTTGTAATATCGGTATTTTACTTAGGAAATACTTCGAATCCTTCAATCCTTTGTCTGAGCACCTCCCTCTGATGTCAGATAGGGATTCAGACCCAGCTGAATCACATATTTAGAGTGCTTCCAGCACTGAGAAGTTTCTTCGTCTCCCGATTTCTGCTGCCGGTGTTGAACAAGCGGCAAGTTGTGCTTGGGTCTTTCTTTGCATTCTTCTTCCTGTATCTTACTCCCGTGGTATAAGAAACTTTTTTTTTTTGAATCAAAATGCGTATGCAAGTGGCCACTGCCGTGGCTGCATGGGCTGTTACCTCGGCCTGTCAGAGCCTGCCTATCACTCGGAACCTTTGGTCGCGCGATGCCGATTACAAGGATCTCAGCGAGAAGCTTTCCAGCTCCGCTAAGGTTTACTACCCTGGCTCGGATGAGTTCGAGCAGGCTTCCATTCGGTGGTCCAATTTGGAGAAGCCCACTGTGAACATCGTTGTCGTTCCCGGCACTGAGAATGATGTCCTTGAGACGGTGAGCTTTTGTTTTCTATACCTTCTTGGCCTATCTATCCTTTTCTCCTCCTATTTTACAGTGTTGCTTCACCACACGCGATGTTCTCCCCATACATGGCCAATACATCCTGGCTCCGCCAACCGCCCACTAATGTCACTGTCTAGGTGAAATTTGCCAACAAGAAGGAATTGCCCTTCCTGGCGTACAATGCCGCCCATGGAGCCATCACCACCTTGGGGAAAATGGACAGCGGTATCGAGATCTACTTGGACCAGCTCAGCGGTGTCGATATCGCCGAAGATGGCAAGACTGTGACCATTGCTGGTGGAACCAAGTCCAAGCTGGTGACTGACACGCTCTGGGATGCTGGCAAGCAGACGGGTAAGTCTAGCCCCCAGCCATATACAACGGCATCAAGGCGATACCACTCAAAGAATACTAATTCATCTACCTAGTCACCGGTGCCTGCGAATGTGTCAGCTACCTCGGCCCCGCCTTGGGTGGTGGCCATGGCTGGTTGCAGGGCCGCCACGGGCTTATTGCGGACCAGTTCGAGTCAATGAACATTGTGCTTGCCAACGGCACTCTGGCCACTCTGGACTCCAGCTCCGAGCTCTGGTGGGCCATAAAGGGTGCTGGCCACAACTTCGGCATCGTCACCTCCGTCACTTCCAAGATCTACGACATCGAGTACAGGGACTGGGCCATTGAGATCATCACCTTCAGCGGCGACAAGGTCGAGCAGATCTACGAGGCTGTTAACACGTATCTCCTGAAGGACGGCGCCCAGCCCACCGATATCATTAACTGGTCGTACTGGGTTAACATCCCCGAGGTAGATGCGACAAACGTGAGTCTACGCTTTACTCCTAAGATTACCCTCCACGTCGGCATCTAATATTATACCTCTAGCCCGTCATCCAAGTAATCATTATCCAAGAAGGTGTCCAGGCCGTCGACGCCGCCTACACCGCCCCTTTCCGCTCCATGGACCCTATCTCCATTGAGCCCCAGAGCGGTAGCTACACCGATCTTGCCGCATGGGTCGGCATTACCACGACGTCCGGACCCTGCGAGAAGAACGGCGCCATGAACCCGCGGTTCCCCAGCTACCTGGAGACGTACAACGTGACCGCACAGAAGCACGCCTACGAGGTGTTCGCCGAGGCAGTGCGCGGCTCTTCCGTGTTCAACGGATCCCTGGTCACGTTCGATGGATACTCCACGCAAGGCGTGAAGTCGATCGATGCTGGTAGCACCGCGGTGCCCTTCCGTGACCAGAATGTTCTCGTCGGGCCCTTGATCGCCTACATGCCTGGTGACGCCGAGCTGGACGAAAAGGCCGCCCAGGTGGGGACCCAGATCCGACAGATTCTGCACGAGGGCTCTGGCCGCGAGCATGTCATTGCGTATGTCAACTATGCGTATGGCAACGAGGGCCCCGAGGAGTGGTATGGTAGTGAGGAGTGGAGGCAGAGCCGGTTGCAAAGCTTGAAGAAGAAGTACGATCCTACGGGGATGTTCAGCTTCTACGCGCCCATTGCTTGATTACGAGGGTGAGCTGTGTATAGTACGATTTCTTTCCTCTTGTGATATGTGTAAGGCTATTGGCTAGTCAGGTTGCTAGATGGTAAATTATAGAGAAATTGGGGCAGGCAAGATGTCTGGCTGCGAAGCTGACAAGTGCAGAGAGCACCGAACACACTAACAGCCCCTGCTGGTAATAGACTGGAGAATAGAGCAAACAATAAAACAGAAAGTTATACAGTATATACAATTAGGTCTGAAGTCTGTGTAGGGTAGAGACTGATCCTCTAGACACAACCCACTGTGACATCATGCACAGTTTCCGCTCGTTGATACCTCCCTTAACCACTATCCACCACCCTGTCCGTGTCTCATCACAATCGGCTCACGGTACAATTTCCAGCAAGGCTATAGGTGCCCATGACACTCCGCTGGAGAAAGAGGACATAGCCCTAGCTAGGCAGTGAGGGGGGCTTAGCCACGCAAGACCTGGAGCAATCTCCCGTCGGGACCATGTCAACAGAGGAGAAACCAAAGTTAGCCAAGAGCACCAGGAACGAAAGAGAATGTAGATACACCGGTTCCCTTTCCTTCCTTCAGGCCCCCCAATACACGATTGTATTTCGATACTGGGTGTCCAAACAACTCCGATCAATCGCGGACGCCGACATTGTTCCGAGAAATATACTCTACTCGCAAGCTTGGGACGAGACAAATTCTCTAGAACTTACCATACACAGATACGAGTAGAATGGGGGTCCTAGCTGCTCAACAAAATATAATACATACTTGGAGAAGTCTGAGGTAAGATTCTATCTGCCAAGCTATTTCCACATTGGCTCTTAGCTTGGCTTGTTGATCGACAGCAACCTGGACCAATGGGTTTCTAAGCTTAGCATGAGTTGTTAGACATTGGGAAACCGGACGGAGGACTTGGCCCACTGTAATTTCCGCCGTGCCGGAGGATTCTGGACGTTGAGTTACTTACTGTACCTGTACCAGCCCATTCGCATACTATATATACGGTGGTATACTGTAATTGGAAGAGAGAGTGTCAAGTGGGGGTATGTAATTGAGTTGCAAAAAGTACTCCTAGTATAACTTCTCAGGTCCTAGATTCCTCTTCACCGGAAATTACATTACATAACACACGACTGTAACCTGTATGTTTCAAAGTGGTTTACCAACCCTGCAACACGGGCGTTTACCGGGCCTCGAACCGTTCGGCAATTCCGCCATGTGGGTCGATGGCACTCTGCAGGTCCATCACGAATCCCTCCGCGCTTCCCGGGAAACCTATTTCTGCACCAATATGTTTCCATGGTGTTATGTCGGCGGTCTCGGCTTTGTCTTACATGTATGTACTAATAGCCTAGTCCAATCCTGCAGACACCCCTCTGCAATCGTGGAGGCGAGGGGTAACGGACATGGAGAGGTTGTATGGTGGTAGTCTTTCCGTAAGATCGGAGAAGAAAACTTGAAGTCTTGTGGCCACGTAATGAAAATCATTAGCAGTCTGCCGCTCCGTTAGCTGGTGTCACCATCGGCATGAGTGCTTGTCCCTGGTCATACGAGGGAACAGGGTCCATTCGCCTTGTCTCAACATGGCCTGTTACGGTGGTCTGCAGCTTTGAGGAATCGACCTAGGGCTGCGACTGAGCCACAATCCAGGCCGCCAGAGTTACTGTGACATAAACTTAAAGTGCCAACAGCCCATGGAGACCGTCTGTGTTCATTGACCTTTAATCACACCGGGCTCGCTATTCCTTGTTTGTATCATCATCACCATCGCCTACAATGGATACTACGACCCCTTCGCCGCACTGGGGAAAGTTCCGCTACCTGACCCGAGGGGTCAAGCCAGCGCCAACAAAAGAAGCGTATCTGCTTCCACCTCTGTCCGAGTTTGGTGATGTTGTTAGATTACCCCTCACGGACATGAAGCCCTCCCTAGATCTGGGAGACGAGTCCCCATACAAGCTGTCAGTCCATGGCTTCACCGCTCGCCGACACCACTCCGCCCTGCATGCAGCTCCATACGACCGTACTAGTTGGAACAACGAGCGTCTGCTCCGTGAAATCTACTTCCCCGAAGTACAAGAACTGGTTAAAAAGGTCACGGGATGTAAGAAGGTGGTGATATCCGCCGCAGTGCTGCGCAACGAATTATACAAGGAAAGCGATGCCCCTGCGGCTCCACACCCAGAAGAAAACGAGCAAACGCCAAACAAGGACCCCGAAGCGGAACTATTTCCACCTATTGTCGGCAACTCGACGACAGATAGTATCTGTCCGGCCCCGAAAGTGCATCTTGACCTGACGCCGACGGGTGCTAGGTACCACATTCGCAAGTACCATCGCGAGGTTACGTCCGCGGCCGAGAAAGTAATCGCAGCGGAGAATCGGCTGCTGGAATCCGGTGTGCAATGGGATGACCTCAAGGACTTTTATGCAGGGAAGGAAAACGGCGATGAGGGGGTACCTCGATTCGCACTTTTCTCCATTTGGAGACCCCTGAAAACCGTCCTTCGGGATCCCCTGGCTTTGGCTTCCTGTGCTTCTTTTCCTGAATCAGACTATGTGCCTGCGGACCAGCTGGAGCCATTGGATCCCCAGATTCCGGCTCATCTGTCGCGGATCGTCGATTCCAACGGTCAAGAGGCTGCATCCAACGTGGATAATGGAACTTACCAAACGCAGGGCTATTTGGCTTATGCGCCACGGGATAAAGAACGAAAAGCGCATGACTGGCACTTCATCTCGGAGCAACAGCCTTCTGACGTTTTGGTAATTCAACTGTTTGACAACGAGATGGAGGCGCATGCACGAGCACCACAGGAAGAGACCAATAAGAGGTCTAGTTTGGGGGTCGGGGGAGCCATCCATAGTGCCTTCGAGCTGGACGGCCAAGATCTACATTCTGAAGCTCGGGAAAGTATTGAGGTGAGATGTATAGCAGTTTGGTAAACGATTTCAAAATTAAAATTGTTGTCTGTTTGGTCTATATTGAGTGCCATGTAGCTAGATGGGGTATTTTGGATGAAGCGTTGAATTAATAAAAGCCTTCATTAACTGAGGACATGACACAAAGAAACATAGTAGACCGGCAAGGAAGATGATAGTTTACGCATTCAAGCGATCACTCAAGCCAGTAAAGCCTGTACGACGTACTCTGACGAGGCGTCAAAAGGGTGATAAATACATGCTGGGAGCCTTTATTTCCGGTTTATTACTCTACTCTCTCTCTCAGATAAATCACGAAGCGAAGCTCGTCTTGAATCGCTTGGACCTTTTCCCTAGAAGAGGATATTTACACCTGATAGCCATCCTGATCAATATGCTCGGTCGTTACCCAGTTAACTTTCCTTCCAAGACCTCTCTTACCCTTGAAGTATAGTACAGAGTAGTGTTCATACGAACGACAGGCAAACTCAACCATGAAGTATGTTATCTGTCTAGGTGAAACAACAAACTGTCTATTATGGGGCTGTACATATGTGCTACCCTCAATTCGGCAGGCTCCCAGCTGGCTTGATTCCGAAGCGCTGCCCTAGAATAATAAACTGGGCCACGGTAAGCGCGCGGCGCAACGCCAAAGGTTCCTGCTTGGTAAAAGCGTTTTCCAAGGCTTCTTGCGTAGCAGTCCAATCTACAAAGCCCAGGCTTTCCACATTTTCCTTTGTAACCAGGTGCGTGATCTTTCGGTGCAACGGTCCACCCGGCCAGAACTTTCTTGGACCCATATAGGCTTTCTTGCTCATATTGTACACCTCATCCGTGACATAAGGCCGCACAGCTTCTCGAAGAATATACTTCTCACGGAAGGATTTTTCCCTCGCATTGTACTTCATCTTGAGGCACGGTGGCACATTGTTAACATATTCTGTCAAGTGATGATCAAGGAAGGGGCAACGACTTTCGACTTGATTGACCATGTCAATATTATCGCCGTTATACCGTAGGATGAAATGAGGCAAAAAGGACTTCGTGAATAGGTATTGAGCAGTGTGCAGGGGGTGCCACCGCTTGGCTATATTGTCGCGGACATGCCCATTGACGCCCTCGATGAGACTCGTCTCTGGTATATTATCCCCATAAGAACTCGTCCAATCTGCGAATGGCAGGCTGCCCACTCTTGCGATGGAGCTGGTGACGTGGCTATGGTTAAGCATGCGCCGCGTCGCACTTGGGACCGTCACGCTGTAGTCGCCGAAAATCCCGTACCTGACTTGTTCTTTAGCGGTCTGCAGGGCTTCCTCGCGCTCGGGTTCGGCGATCTGCAGCGCCGGCCATGAATGATCAGGCTCGCTAAGTGCATCGGCCCGGAACGCATCGTAGCCCGCAAAATGCTCATCGGAGCCCTCTCCTGCGCCCATATTAGAGGCGCCACGTTCAACGAACAGAGACATGATTCCGCTTAGCAGCGATCACTCACCAGTAACCACAACCTTGATTCCCTGAGCGTGTACCGCTTCTGCCAGTGCCAACCGGCCCATTCCGTTGAGATCGGGGAGGGGGATTTCACTGTGCCAAACAGCGTCCTCGAAGCGTGATACGAGAGCCTCTTCGTCCATCTTAACAAACTGGATATCGACACCCAGCCAGTCTGCTGTGCGCTGAGCAATTGCTGGGATCTGTCAGTAATCAAGAAATGAATGTGGCTGTGTTTGGTAGTGGGATGAATATACCCGACTCATCTGCGCCGCTATCCTCATCGAACTGAACGGTGAAGCATTTCATGTTCGACGGAACTGAGTTCTGCTCGCTACCTAGCTTTGTCCCCTGTTTCATGAGATCGGCCACCATGCCAGCAACGGACGATGAATCTATTCCGCCACTGAGGTACACAGCTACAGGAACATCCGCTTTCAGTCGGATTCTCACAGCCTCCCGCAGACGCGCCCTCACTCCTTCCACGATTTCCTCTTCCGATCGCATGTCATGGGAAAACTAGGGCGCATTAATCGTCACCGGACACTCCTAGAAAGGAATCGAGGCTTCTTACTTTATCGGGATACTCCAGATCCCAGTATGACTTTTGTTCTTCCTTCTCATTCGGCCGACAGACCAGATAGTGTCCCGGGAGAACCTATAACGTCTTAAAACGAGGCCCATAATTTTGGCTAATACGCGAGGTAAACTCACCCGGTGTACGCCTTTAAAGAACGTGCGCGACTCGACTCTCCAGCTCTGGTCCCGCAATGTTCGAACACACCATTCCGGCTGCAATCCAAAAGCCAGGAAAGACTTGATCTCCGTTGCCACCAACAACTTGCCGTCAGCGACAGTATAGTAGAGTGATTTGATTCCATAACGGTCTCTGGCAGCGATGAGCAATTGGCGGCTCGCGTCCCAGAGCACGAAAGCAAACTCGCCCCTCAAATGAGATAGAAACGAGAGCCCATAATGTTTATACAAGGCAATGACGATTTCGCAGTCACTCGTTCCCGCAAACTCGAATTCGCTGGCCAATTGCGCCCGATAATACTCGTGGTCATACAGCTCCCCATTCACAACGGCATGGATACTGTTGTCTTTATCGTGGAACGGCTGGTTTCCACTGGGGCTGAGGTCGATGATGGACAGTCGGACATGGCCAAGGCCTGTTGAGCAGATGTTGAATATCCATCCATGTAAGACGGGGAAGACGGAACAAGGAGGAGAACCTACCTACTTGGTGATCGTCGCTAAACCAACGCCCGCGAGCATCTGGTCCACGGTGGCCAACCAGATCCAGACTGTGCTCCAACTGCGCCACGACATGCTGGGCTTGGGCGTTGTTGCTTTGCTCCTTTGAGCTAGCGTGGCTCAGATACGCACTGATTCCACACATGGTTATGGATGTTAAGATGAGGGAGAATATAGCATCAAACCGAAAAGGCAAATTGGCCTTTTATCATATACGTCCACCCTAAATTACTAGTAGTTACTACTACTCAGCCTTTGGTCAGATAGATAGTTGGAGAGCCACCTGCCTACCCCTCCATCACATTAGGTAACCAGGTACTGGAGGTCAGGACCGACTTAGGTTAGGCCACTAGATCAAGAATCAGATCTCACTTCACGGCCAGAGGAAGCCTACATTTACTAGTCCATACGGAAACCAACATTACCACGGTAAATTGCACTTGGAAGATCACTTGAATCGGACTGGTATTGACTAGTATTGTCAAAATTGCTATAACGTACCGAATGGTGGTATTACAGGTGGAGACTCCGGATGCTGGGCGGCTCCGGGGGGAAGCGGGAGGGCCCGGTGGGGGCTCGGGGGTCGCCTCGCCCGACTACTACTGAGCGGTCCGTGTTTGGGTCGTAGACTGCTTGTGGTCGAGACACAAAGGGTTACTGCAGCATTGAGAACTTGGATGTACCCGGCATTACATAGAGCCTCAGGGTTACATAGGGCTTGCAAGGGGAAGGGTTTTTCTATGTGGCTAATTGATTGCCGAGGGGGTTTTATTGCAGGGTAGATCCTGAAGAAACGGTTTCATTAATAAGTTCGAGCTGCCTTTGCATGGTTTCATATTTTTTATTGTTTAGAAATGTTTCACTGAGAGACCATGAGACCTTAGATTACCCGGAAGGTACCATGGCCAAGTGTACCAAGGTCTGACACAATTCCTAACTGAATATATTCGATTCTAGACCACGCGGGACGTGGCCCGATGAACCACAAGCCAGCTAGATATCACTATCGTAATTGGTATCAACGTTCTAGGTGGTTTATTCTTGCGTAGTTCTAATTATGTAAAGTATCGCAAGTGCTAAAAGTCTTGTATATCTTCCCGATCCGCTAACGGTAGGTCCATACGGTGGAGCTAAAGCCTGGGTGATCCTAATTTCAAGGTTTCAGCGCCCAAGATCCTTTCAAGACCAATTCAGTTCAAAATTTCATCCAGACCGTCGGGATGTCATGAAATTCATGAAATTTTGAAATTTTGAAATTTTGAAGACATCCGTAGGCAAGACAACAACATCATCTAGTTCGGAGTCTCGCGGGCTTGGCTACATATGGGAGTATACTGTAATGGATTGCGAGTACCCCCGCGCCAGGCGCCCTGGCTATTCCGTGAAGAAACCATCCTCGTCAATCCTATAGTGGATTCCGGTGTATGCATGTCTCAGAACGCAGGATGCACTCCGCATGAAGGGAGGCGATGCAATCAGTTACGCCGCAGAGCACGCCAGTAGTGCATGTAGGGTATTGCCACTCATGCAGAGCTTATGTGGGCAGTTGCAATCAATACAGAGTGCCATATAATAAACGGCCGAGTCGGCTAATAAACAGCCAGGGGCGTCAGGAATCGATGCCGACTGTTTACTCACTTGTGGGGGTTTCGATCAATCTCTCTCGTTAGTGATCAGTCCAGTAATTTCTATCTCAAAAGTCACTCTCCATGGCCGCGCTGTCCACATCGTCGTTGTTTTCCCCGCCCATTGGGACTCAACGAGACTCTCGGTACAGCGAAACGCAAATAGCCACGGCCAATGTTGCATGTAAAGGCCTAAGTAGCAAGTCTCTTGCCCGTTGGTTGCATGAAGAGCAGCGAAGTCACTTGGAACTTCTTCAGGCTGCATGGTCACTTTCGCTTCGGTCTTATACTGGCTCTAACGATCTCTGGTTTAGCTGCCTGGATTCGAAAAGGTATGTAGTTCATAGTAGCTCCTGGAGTCTTGGCTGACAGTTATAATTGAAGAAATTGCTACTCCCATGTTTCGCCGGCGCAGCCTGTGCGAAGCCTCTTCAATATACGCCGTGTTGAGTTACACGAGGAAAATCGCACGACCAGTCAGGGAGCCAACTCGGCTGTCTATGTTAATGAAGGACATGAAGATGATTGTGACAATGTAAGACTTTACGACATCAGAGAGGTATTTGTCTGGACGTAGAAGATCACAAGTCATACAATGCTGACAGCTTCGATGTAGTTTGATCTCGCCGTGTATTTCTCGCCAGGGACAGAGACACAATCCCCTGGCATTGGGATTCACCACAAACCATCTGTCATTTCAACAGATTTGGCTACAATGATTGCAGAAACAGTAGCTAGGGCCATCGACCAAATAGTCCTCCACGTTGACTCTCAGATTGAAGTTCTCGACATATGTAGTGATGCAGACATCAACCGTCTATATCATTGGAATAACATATCAGGTGATGAAATATCCCCCAGGCACTGCATACATCACATAATCTCTCAAAGGTGTGCTGCGCAGCCAGAGTCCATTGCTGTGTCAGCCTGGGATGGGCAGCTTACCTATGCAGAGTTGGATAGCCTGTCATCAGCTCTGGCAATCCGACTTCAACACCTTGGGGTCCACCCAGAAGTCTTCGTTCCCCTCGTATTTGGGAAATCAAAATGGGCAGTCATCGCCCTTTTAGGTGTCTTGAAAGCTGGTGGCGCTTACTTCTTTCTTGATCCCTCCCATCCAATAGAGTATAGCCGCAGCTTGTGCTCATCATTGTGTCCCGAAATTGTGGTATCCTCACAGAGACAGAGCACGCTTGCCAAGTCCTTCGCTGGCAAGGTCATCCCACTTGGAGGGGAATCCTGTGAGCTTCTGGACTCATTCGCTATCGATGAACGACACCCACAATCGACAGCGGAAACAAACACTTCCAACGCCATGTACATAACCTTCACTTCCGGGACTACCGGTACGCCGAAAGGCATAATCACTGAGCATTCGGCCTTTTATTCCATGGCCATGGCCAATGGTAAAGCACTCCGTGTCACAGCTACAACGAGGATGTTACAATTTGCATCGTACACATTCGATGTGAGCAACCGCGATATGCTTATCACACTTATTTTTGGCGGATGCATCTGCATCCCTTCGGAGAGTGATCGCATCAATGACCTCTCTGGGTTTATAAATCGCCAGTCTGTCAGCTTAGCAAGCCTGACGCCGTCTATGGCCAGTACCCTGTCTCCTGCTGCATGTCCGAGCCTTCAAGGCTTGGTCCTTGGAGGAGAGCCTATGACCGATAGCCACATCTCTTCTTGGGCCAACCACGTGCGGCTTTTCAATGCCTATGGGGTTAGCGAGAGTACTGGAATAGCAGCGTTGGCATCAGACATCCAACAAGGCTCTTCCCCAGGCAATGTAGGTTTTGGATGCGGATCAACGTTATGGGTCGTCGCGATTGACCAGCCCGACAAACTGGCACCAATTGGCGCTTTGGGAGAATTGGTTATTGAGGGCCCATCCGTGGCCCGTGGCTATATGGGCGACAAGAAGCGGACTGAGAAGCAGTTCACGTCAAAGCCAGCGTGGAAGAAAAGAATTCATGAACAATTCGGCAAGACTCATTCGGGGAAGCGGGCCTTCCACACAGGCGATTTGGTGAGGTACAATCTTGACGGGTCGCTGCATTTCGTGGGCAGAAAAGATCATCAAGTGAAGGTTAACGGACAGCGACTGGAACTGACGGCAATTGAACATCACATAGCAGCCTGCGCCGAAGTCGCCAACTCCGGCTTTCTTCATACAGCCGTCGTCGCTGCCAAGAGTAAGGCAAACGGCTCCAAGCTTCTCGCCTTTCTGGGCCTTGATACGACTAGAGAGCCAAATAGTCCGTCTCAAATAGTGTCAAAGCAGTTGAAGGACATGGAAGCCCTGAAAGCAGCCCTCAAACGACACCTTTTGCATTGCTTACCGACATATATGGTTCCAGTGGATTTCATCTTTCTGGAACACATGCCACTCACGACATCGGGAAAAGTCAATCGACTCCGTCTACAGGAAACAGCTGCATACGTGTTCTTCGACCATCAGAAGAGGACTCTTGATGCATCCGATTCAAATAACAACCATATCACAGCCACGCCCAAAGAGAAAGTTCTTATCCATTCTTGGGCCAGGATTCTAGGCATTAAAAATGCAAGCATCATGCACCATGACTGCTTCTTTCGGAGCGGAGGGGACTCCATTGCAGCCATCAAAATGGCTGCCAGCCTTCGCCAGGAAGGGTTTATTATATCAGTGTCTGATATCTTTAAGTTTTCGACCTTGTCGGACATGGCGTCAGTGCTAGTCGAAGACAACAAGCCTTTCCCACCAGCAGTGCCTGCCTCTTTTTCATTAATAGACAACTCCCAGACTGTGCTTGATGCGATTTTGGAAGAACTCGGTACAAGTATTGACCAGGTCGAGGATGTATACCCATGCACGCACATGCAGCAAGGGCTAATAGCCTTGACGGCGCAAAAACCTCATGCATATATTGGCAGCTACACCTGGCAGCTGACCGATACGCTGGAGGAGGAGAGATTCAAGGATGCATGGAAGGCGGTTTGGTTCCACAATCCAATCCTTCGTACTAGAGTCGTGCAAACGCCGGATGGTGTCTTTCAGGTTGTCATGAAAACTGATATGCCGTGGAACACTGTCACTGATATTACTGGTTGTGGAGATGAGAAGCAAATCATGAAAGTTGATATTAGCCATGGGCCACTTATCCAGTTTTATTTCAACAAAGAGTCGTTCCGGCTAGATATCCATCATGCTTTGTTTGATGAATGGTCTCTTGACCTGATCCTGAGACAAGCTGAGCGCGCATACACCGGGGAAAGGCTTCATACGCAACCATTCAGTCCGTTCGTTCAACACCTTCTTCACGAACGTGATACTACCATGGAGGACTTTTGGCGTCAGGAATTCTCTTGCCTTCAGGCCGAGCATTTCCCAGCTAGCGCTGCCAGCCCAATCAACGTTGAACATGCGACTGAGAAAGTAGTCCTAGAACATAGCCTGCAACTTGAGATCGGAAATTCTACCAAGTATACGCTCTCGTCCGTCTTACGGCTTGCATGGGCAATTGTCCTGTGGCACCAAACGGGCAGTGAAGACGTGCTTTTTGGAGCCACTGTCAGTGGCCGTAACGTGAACATTGACGGAATCGATCAAATTAGCGGACCAACCTTGGCGACACTGCCTGTGCGCATCAGACTGCCAACGAGCCAACCTGTCCATGAGGGTCTATCGCAGGTTCAAGACCAATTTGCCAACATGATGGTTTATGAACAAACGGGATTGTCGCGTATTCGCCAAGCTGGGAGAGAATCTGCTGAGGCATGTAACTTCCAGAATCTACTTGTCGTGCAACCGTATGAGCAGCAAACCACATCTCTTATGTTCAAAACGTCAGCCAACACAGCATCTTCTTCCGAAAATGCGAAGGCCTTTTCCAGCTATCCACTGGTGTTAATATGCCGTCCAGAAAAGACTGGAATCAGCATGAAAGTAATAATTGATCCTTCTGCTCTAGCACCCGCCTCCGGACATAGTATTCTCAGACAGATGTCGCATGTTATCCAGCAGCTTATGACTTCCGACTCAATACGCATCACAGATGTTAGTCTGGTACCTCCGGAGGATATGTCTATCTTGAGAGAATGGAATCATTTTCTCCCGAAAGCTGTGGACACTTGTATCCACGATCGCATTCGGCAATTATGTATTGCACAACCTGAGGCACTTGCTATTCACTCTAACGATTTAGACCTGACGTATGCGCAGCTTGAGAATTATTCCAATCACTTTGCGCAGCATTTGGTAAGCACAGGGGTCACGCAAGGCGACTTTATACCTCTCTTATTAGAGAGATCACCTTGGGTTCCGGTTATCATGCTAGCAGTTCTGAAGACTGGCGCTGCTTTTGTGCTACTGGACCTTTCCCACCCTATTCAGCGGATGCGAACGATGTGTTCTATGCTTAATGCTAGAATTGTGGTTTCCTTCAAGGAGCACACCCATATGAGTGATAATCTTTCGCTTCCTATCATCAACTTTGACCCAAAGGTTCTTGTACAGAATCTGGGTAAACAAATCATAGGCTCTGCGTCTAAGCCACCGGATGCATTTGTTACACCAGATGCCCCTGCTTGTGTTGTCTTCAGCTCGGGGTCTACCGGGCTGCCTAAAGGCATCGTGCTTCACCATAGTGCCCTCACCACAAGTGCGGCAGTCATGCGTGACCATGGCATGCTTGCCCCTAACAGTCGCGTCTTTCATTTCGCCTCCTTTGCGTTCGACATTAGCATTGGCGAAATCCTCTTCACCCTTGCGGCAGGAGCATGCATCTGTGTTCCCTATGAGGAGGATCGAAGGGGGAACCCCGCAAAAGCAGCAGGCGACCTGCAAGTAACCTGGGCACTTCTAACTCCGTCTGTGATTAATCTGTTCGACCCATTGGATGTCCCCACCTTGGAAGTCTTGGGGTCGGCTGGTGAGCCTCTTACTCCACACATTGTGAACGTGTGGGCTCACAGGGTAAATCTCTTCGGGATGTATGCACCGGCCGAATGCACCGTGATCTCTCATATCGGGCGAATCTTGCCCGACACTCATCACTCCAGTATAGGTCGAAGCCCTGGAGCGGTGTCTTGGGTAGCTGATCCGTCCGACCACAATCGGCTGGTCCCTATCGGCACAGTTGGTGAGTTGATCGTCGAAGGCCCCGTCGTTTCGTCTGGGTATCTCAACGATCCGGAGAAAACAAACAAAGTCTTCATCACCAGCCCACCTTGGCTCACTGACGTCCGTTCCTTCTCCGGAAGGCTGTATAAAACGGGAGATCTCGTCAGGCAGACCTCTGATGGCTCACTTCTGTTTGTCGGAAGGAAAGATGATCAGGTAAAGTTGCACGGGCAGAGACTTGAAGTAGGAGAAGTCGAACATTGCATAATCTCCTCAAGCACAGCCATCAGAACCGCTGCTGTTGAGTGTATCAAGATTCCGGAGCAAAACAACCGAGTCTCGCTGGCTGCATTTATTTGCCCACAAACCGATGGAGATTGGGGACAGTCCTTTGACGCTGGGTCTGGTGGTTTGGAATTGGTTGGGCCACCAAGCGATCAGTTTTACTCGACTATCCAAGCCTTGGAAACATCTCTAAAAGAGCTACTTCCGGCATACATGGTTCCATCCTTCTTTATACCGCTTGCTGATGTTCCCCTCACCCTGTCGGGGAAAGTGAATCGGCGTCTACTCCGGAATGAATCCACAAGCTTGTCACTGAAGATCCTGGAACAATATCAACTGAGAAACAGGACTGCCCCCGCAGAAGAAGTTCCTATCACGGCGCTTGGTCGGGAAATTCAACAAATCATTGGCCAAACACTCAATGTGGATATGCAGTTAATACCCATGAGCAGTAACTTTTTCGGCCTTGGGGGAGATTCAATCTCGGCTATGCAAGTCTCCATGCTTGCAAGACGCAGAGGGATATGCCTGCCCGTGGCGGATATTTTCACGGAACAAATTCTTTCAAGAATAGCTTCGAAGTGCACTAGAGATCATGAAGATACCAACAAGACCTCTAGAAACAAGCCATCTGGACCAGCCATGAATTTATCACATCACCGTGATATTGCCTATGAGAAACTCCTTCGTCGTTTGCCGCAGGAGGTTGCCGATAATATTGAGGAAGCCCTGCCTGCCACTGAATTCCAGGCGATGACGCTCCGTAACTTTTACAGCCGATATCTCTGGATCTCCCTGCCCGGTGAGGTTGATCAAGAGCACCTACTGAATGCATGCAATCAGCTTGTTCAAAAACACTCCATCTTGCGCACTGTCTTTTACACAAAGGATGAGAAGTCTGTTGCACAACTGACCTTGCGCAAAGTTCACGTCAGCTTCATTCATTATGATAACATCGAAAACTTGGACGAACATTGCGCAGACGATTCTCTTGCCATGGGAGTGCCTATAGATGGCGAACCGGGATTTCAGGTACAGCTTGTGACCTTGAGGGACGCAGGGAAGTTTCTAGTTCTGCGATTACCCCATGCACTGTTTGATGGGCTTTCGTTGGATATCATTTGCAGTGATCTCAGTTCTGCATACGGCGGAAATGTACTTCCACCTTGTGCCCAGTTTGCGGACCACGTTCGACATGTCTGGGAGAAAAAGACCCCCGAAACCTACAACATATGGAAAGAAGTACTGGGAGAGGCCCCAATGACCAGCTTGAACAACAAGTTCTTGCAGAGTTGGAATAGACTAGGCAAGAATGAGATCCCACAAATGGGCACAAATTCGGAACAGCCACGAGTGGTGACAGCAATAGCAGAGACTATACCAATCTCGCCTCCACCCAATACCACCATGGCAACATTGGTCAAACTGGCGTGGGCAATCACACTCTCCCGATTATTTACCTCAGCCCAGGAAGAGAATGGATGCAAACAGGGCTTGAACGATGTTGTCTTCGGCCAGGTCGTGCATGGTCGAGGACTTGGAATTTCCCACGAAGACCGCATTGTCGGTCCGTGTCTCAACATCATCCCTGTGCGAGTTCGCTTTCCTCCGCGATCCAATAAATTTGAGCTTCTTGGTCAGGTCCAGCAGCAGCACATTCAAACCATGCCCGTTGAGAATCTTGGACTGGACGAAATCGTCCATAACTGCACATCTTGGGAGGCTGGAACGAAATTCGGCAGCTTTGTGAGGTTCCAAAACTTCACCAACAATGACGACTCGACTTGTTCCTTTGATGGACATACCTGTGAAACAGGTCTCTATAGTCTTCCCAATCGACCATCTGCCACGGCCAATGTGCTTGTTGTCCCTCATGGACCCACGTTGACGATCACCATGACAATATCTAATCAAGTATTGGATAGAGAGTCTGCAGATTATGTAGTAGGGTACTTCAGTGATGTTATCGGAAGCCTGGCAAGTGAAGAGGCAGTCTGCGAATACCTTGTATGATTAATTCGTTCAGCTCCTTGGTTTTCTTTCTTGCCGAAAGGGTTATATAGAAAATGGAGAGCATTGCGAGTGTTGAATTATTTGCGTGCTGTCCATGCATTTATTGGGGGTGTGACAAATCTATAGGTCTCTGCACAACCAGTGGGCTGCCTTTGTTAGTGTCTGGTTAACCAGCTGCCTGTATACCGACGAATGTGTACTTGTAATAGTTGATTCTTCCCTTATGTTTCTTATCTCCTCTGCACGGTTCGTTGCACAATTCAGTAACATCCACTCGGCGCCTTAGGTAGATGTCTCCACCTGTCTAATTTGAATCTTCCGGTGCAATACTTGCCTGTAATTCGTCGATTAGTGGTGGTTGAGGTGGTGGTGGTTGCAGAGAGAAGTCTCGGCTGGCTCGGGTGCAGCCGCCCGCTCGGTTGGAGCCCTAAGGCATTGCCTGCGCGGGGAGCTGCTAGCTCACTATTTGTTAATTTAATGCTGTTAGTCCCACGGCATTTTTGCTGGGGCTTGCTCACTATTTTCCTTAAATTCGCTGCCCATCTCTTCCTCTTCACCCAGATCTTCTAGCACTCTAGACTGTTCAGTTTTCCTTAGCATCATGACTCGCACCCACCTCCGTGTCGCCATTCTCCAGAACTATCCACTCTCAGCAGAAGGTGGTGAACTTATGCTTGAGAGTATCTCAAAGCTGGTCCGCAACTCGAAACCCAACGTCGCAATCAATGTCTACGCACCGATTCAGGGCGATCCATTCCCTGATCTAGATACTTCTGATTTAATCATTCTCACTGGCGGCCCGTTTAATCTATTAGAAGATGAAAAACCATCCTGGGTAACCGGAACCCTGGATTTCATCAAAGCCGCCACCACAGATCGGGCGACGCCGAAGCTTCTCGGTATCTGCTGGGGTCAGCAAGCAATTGCGTTAGCCTTGGGGGGTTCGATGGGAGAATTGAAGAGCGGGCCTTGTGTAGGCGCTCCTTTTACACATATCGAATAACTAAAGCTAATGTCTTAGATTGGCGTGGAGACTATTCCGTTGACCGCTGGCGGTGCACGATTCTTCAATGCTAAATCACTGGTCTGTTGCCAATCCCCAAAATCAGGAGTGTGGAGCTAACTCACTTCGGCAGGACATACATAAACACCATAAACTTGCTGTCGTCGATATAGGGCCTCGTCTTTCTTGCTTGGCGCCCAACAATGAAATCCTCTTGTCGAAGGATAACCAAGTCCTCACTTTCCAGGGCCATCCCGAGCTGGATGCTACCCTTTCCCAACTACTTATGGATCCAGATGGCCCGTCCGTTTCTGAACTGAAAACGGACATTAAGCCTATTGATGCCCCCCATGACGGCGATGTGATTTTTGCGACAGTCATGAAATGGGCGTCGGGGGATATATAGTCCACACCAAAAGCTTCCGTGGCGTCCGCGACTGTGTTTTTTTAACCTATTTTTTATTTCTTCAATGAATAGCTCCCTGAATGTCCCTAGAGATAATAAATCCGAATAGAATAAAGAAAATCAAACTAAATCTCTAGAATAGAGATTTTACATATACTTTGTATTATACAGAGATTATTTAGTCTAAATTAAAGATATACTATAAATTTCTATCTTAACTATTCAATATATTGTCGAGAAAAGAGTACTCTAAAATAATATAAATTCAGTATATCAATTAAACAGATCTAAAATACTGAATAAATATAATAAGTATAGGATTCTAGCTATTCTCAGTACAACTAGTACTTCAAAGTGTTCCATGTCTAATAAACATATTATTTTCTAAATCCTGAAGCCGAGGTCGGGTATGGACTGTAGATACATTATCTGGCATGTTCAAAGGTAATAAAGGAGAATATTGACTCCATCACACATGCTGAGAGGTCAATATTTCCATATTCTCAATGATCCCTTTCGAATATATGGGTGAATAAATCGGTAGCTTAGTGCCTCAAACTCCCTATGGCTTTGCTGCAGGGATCTGTTGCGTCATACAGTGTATTCCCCCTCCATTGATCGCGATCTCATTAAGATAGACTTGGACAATCTCTCGTTCTGGGAAGAGACTCTGGAGTATCTCCTTCGCCTTGGTATCTGTCTTGCGGCTCCCAAATCGTGGAGCGATGACCCCACCATTGACAAGCAAGTAGTTGACATAGCCCAGTACCATTTCTGTTTCAGAGGAATCGATATCATTGGCATCCGCCTCAGGCAACTCGGTGATTTCGAATGCTCGCCCTTTGGCATCAACAGCCTTAGACAAAATACGCTTGGTATCATGATAAACCGCCGTCCATACTTGATCATCCGGACTAGGACGGCTCAGCACAACTTTTCCAGGCGCAGTGAAGCGAGCTAGGGCATCGATATGAGCATCAGTCACATCCTCATTTTTCACACCAGGTACCCAAATCACTTTGTCGACACCCAAAACCCGATGAAGCTCCTCCTCGGCCGCCTCGCGCGTCATGCCTGGGTTCCGATTTGGGTTGAGAACTGAGCTTTCCGTCGCCAACAGGGTTCCTTCGCCATCAATTTCCAGGGAACCCCCTTCGATAACGATCGAGGTTTCTACGCGGGGGATGCGGGTATCGCTGAGGAAGTATCCGGCCAAGTGAGCATTGCTGGCTGACGGGTACCGTTCTCCCCAACCATTGAAGTTGAAATCAGCCCCGTAGAGAGTTGAGTTTGTCTCCTGGCCAAACACGAACGTCGGCGCCACATCACGCATCCAGGGCTCTAAGTCGTTTGCTCCTATGGCCTTAATATCAATGTCATACTTTCCACGCCCGTCCAATCTGCGCCTCGCGTCAGAGACTTGCTCGCAACTGACCAGCAGAGTCACCGGCTCAAAGTCGGAGACGGCCTTCGCGATGGCGGACAGCTCGGCCTTCATGCGCTCCAGGCTGTCGGCCTCCTGGTAATTGGGATTGTTGTTCCCCGGCCAGGCCATTATCGTTCTCTCATGGGTCAGCCCTTCGTCGGGCATGAAGAACTCGCTATCCGCGGCCATGGTGGCAGTAACTCCACAGAAAAGCTGCAAAAGCAAAGCAAGCATTGTTGGTAACGTAGAATTGAAATTTGATTGGCTTGGGGAAGACAAATTGCAAAGAAGAAAGTATTGAATCGGGCAATTGGAATCTCATGAGATGCTGCTGAGAACACTCACCTTGCCGGGGCTGGGGGCGGCCTTTTATGCCCAAGTTTTATTATTATAATAATATATTCACATGTTCAGCAGGCTGATCACAATTCTCTTCGAACGGCTTGAGTATCCAGTTGGAAAAATTATAATATATTTGAACGGGAGAGCAGACGAGTAGCAATAATTATATATTATATATTATTATATACTCCCTTCGCCAAGCCCGGACGGGCAACAATTGGTTAGGATGGTCCACATAACACCGCCCCCTCCGGCGTAAACACGAGCAGGTTGCTCGGTTCCTGACAGTATCTTCATCGCCGCCACTCTAGGCGCCAGCATTTGTCTACTTAACAGCTCAAGTTACGTAAATCATCCTCCACAACAAGCAACTCATCGCATGGCTCCTCAGTCTCATGCGGTCGATCTACTCCGTACTCTGATCAAAAAGTGAGAGCACATGGCGCCCCTAATTTTAGCCGATCCAGCATCACGTTAGCAGTGAGTGCCCTACAAATGCTATCTGAATTTGTCCTTTAGGTTCCTTGAAACATGCACTTCAAGGAGTAGCATCACGTCGGGCTCTCCGCAAAACCAGTTCTTCTTGTAAAGTCCATTTATGCCTTTCTCAGCCACTTCCCCTAACGTAATCGGACGACGAGCCACCGCGGCGGTAAAAGCGTGTCTTTCGAAGTCAACGATTTTATCAAACTTCAAGTTTTTGCCATCACTACAATGAGTACTATATCAGTTTCAAAGGATGAGCGAATGAAACTAGCTAATGGCCCGTTTAACATGAAATCCGCATGTGCAAAAGTATTTGATGTCCCTCGAAAAACGCTTTCAGACCGCCTCAATGGAATTCTTCCTCGGTTTGAAAAGGCTGCAAATCTAGGGAAGTGTTCAGATACTAAAGAAGAAACTCTTAAGAAGTGGATTATAGAGATGGATCAATGTGGGTTACCGCTCCAAAGATCAAATGTCCGCTATCTTGCCGATCTACTTCAATCTGCACGAATAGTTAGATTATATTACTGTAGAGTTACCTCTATCTATCTATGTATTAGATCGAAGTAGTTGATGGATTATATTCTCGGTAAGCATCAATTAGATTGTCTGCTATCTGCATGAATATACAGCTCAGTAGTAGCACTATAGCAAGTATCTGAAACGGGATCTAGCTTCATAGAAGCGAATACAGAAGCCAATCCTGTAGGCTCTACTTTTATAATAATCGATATATGTATAGTGCACACTACTTGTACTATATATATCAACCGTCATTTAAACAATATATAATAATGCACTTAGCATAGCCAATGTACTATCTTAAAGCATTATGGAGGCAGTCTGTATAAAAATCGATAGTCTGATTGACACAGAATTGGCCTCTTAAAAATAAATGAAGATAGTACAGTGCAACATCACGTCATAGACAGATTCTAGATAGAAAACGACAGTACATGTGTGAAAAGGGTATCTTGGCTGAGTGGTACTAAACTGTACGGGTTAATGGAGGTCTATTTAACTAACGGTGAAGACACCCCGTCCCTGCTAAATCAGAGACTTGTATAGATCTTGACCGAAGGATTGTTTACTGACACAAGTTAACTCTTGATCATTCATCTATAATCTACATATAAAATGGTTCGCATCGTGCAGCGATCACATGGTTGCCTGAACTCAGCCTCCAGACGCTCACAACATGGAGGCAGTTGAAGATTCTTCAATCGGATTCGAAGAACGTTTCCCACAGATTTCTGTCAAACAATGGTAGTTCATTCTCTTTTTCGTTGTCCCACCTCAAAGCATGCTTGTTATGTGTTTCCGTTGTCCGAGGAATGCAATGCCATGCAAAAAAATACCGTTCCAGCATAGACTTTTGTCGTTCAGGCTCCGGGAACTTCCAACTTGATACTTCAGCTGGTGGGTTTACATTGAAGAGCTAGGCCATTCGAATATCAATTGTACTCTGAGGTAGTGAAGCTTCGATTTTATTCACTACTCAAAATATTATACCAAACACGACCTTGTGTCATTCACAGTTAGACAGTTATACTAGAAGAAGTCCACTCCATTCACACCTCTTAAAAATACCAGGTCAAAAGCATTGCAACAAAGCCCAAAACACACCAAAACTTGGTATGTTTAAGCTACTATATCTCAACAAAGATATAATATAATATATTTTTCTATTATTTTTTATATAACTTGAAATTTGTCAAAGAATATCTTTTATTTATAAGGCTTTTTCTTATATTCTATAGTTATTGCTTTATAAATTATTATATTATATAAAACTTCTATATTTTTATTTTGGATAAGAACCCCATACAAAATTGAAATTTAATATATATATCGTATCTCCAATTTTCTTCTATAGAAGAAGCATATATATAATTTATTATATATTTCTCTCTCTATATAAAGTATCGGCCTGTATACGATTTATAATAGTGAAATAAATTGGATTTAAAAATTGTAAATTCTTTATCAAAATTCGAGTGTTGCAATACTTTTGACCTAGAACTTTATCAGATCAGACCATCGATTATATCCATGGCCACCATTCCCCCGTTCATGTATGGGGTACTACGTTGGAAATGTCCGAATCCCTTAGTTATTAATTATCTTCTGAGATAGGCCACTCGGGAGGGGGAAAGTGTCTGTGCTGAACACCTAGTGGGGATAAATCGCCGATCTTCTTCAGGTGCATTGGTTCGTGTTGAGGCTGAATGCCGATCACTGGGGGTTTTCTCCGTTCTTTTTGTTTCTGTTTCTTTATTTATCTATGACTGTCTGCTGCTTTGTATTTGTACAGAAGCTGGCGAGTAGTAGCTGTATATGCAATCTTGCTACTATATTATCGAGTAGCGAGGTGAATTGTATTGCATTGTGTGAGTATGTACATACATTCGTGTAGGGCTACATGAATGACTTGACTCGTTCATGCGAACTCCCAAGCTGATTGTGGATAAAGTTTTGTCCCAAGGTGGGACTCAATGACAGCTAGTTAACATGTGATTCTTGGTGGAAGAGAAAAAAAAAAAGAAAAAGAAATGAAAAGATTCAGGTTTTCAGCCCAGCCACCTGGATTGACCACACAATACGACCGTTCCAGCCGCGACACGCATCCGGCGAAATGCACGCTGACGTGGTCGCCTGGCAGCATTCCGGAGGGGCCCGTCGATGAACATGAACATCTGAGAAGATGCCCACCACCGATTGATTTCTTGACAACTCGATGCAGACAGAGATCACGAATTCAACCTCATGTCCATCCCCACTGTGAGACGAGCCTTTGACTCGTTCCCAAGGCAAAGAACGCTCCAGTCCGTTCGAGGGCTATTCCAACTCCAGATTCTCGCCCTGTTACTGCGAATCGCCATCTCCATCATCCTTTTGCCGCTGGATAACACCATCCTGTTTGCCACGTGCCTTCTCGGTCATTTTTCTGTCTTCCTCTCGCAGTCGAGTCCAGTTCATCGTCGCCAGGCCGCGCGACGTGATGTCCAATTCTACCCGAAAACCATCCTCATCTCCGGCATTGACACCCCTTACGGGCTGGCCTTGGCGCGATGTCTGTACTATCACGGCCATCGGGTCGTGGGCGCCGACATCACAGAGCTCCCGTTCGCATCGGGCGGAGGCATGTCGAAAGCCCTAGCGACTTTCTATCGCATCCCAAGGTCGCACTATGTGTCCCGCCTGCTCGACATCATCCAGAGGGAGAAAGCCGATATCTGGATTCCGTGTTCGTCACGGGCGAGCGTTCTGGAAGACGCAATGGCCAAGCAGGTAATTGAAAGTCGAACTGCGTGTAAATGCATCCACCTGGACACGGAACTGGTCCATCGCTTTAGCGACACCGAATCCTTCACGCAGTATCTCGTCGAAAAGGAGTTACCCGTGGTAGAAAACTACCAAGTGCAGTCGCGCGACTCGGTCCACAAGATCTTGCATCGGTCGCCGAGCAAGGTCTACCATATGCGCCGGCCAGATGTTGCCGTGAGCGACAACAAAGTCGTCATTTTACCGAAGAGGACCCTCAGCATGACTTATACGGAAGTCAGCGAGATCCAAATCTCCAAAGATCGGCCCTGGGTTCTGCAGCAACAGGCTCGGCTGGGGGAGTTTTTCGCTGAATTACTGCTTGTTGGAGGACGGGTTAAGGCCATTAAAATTCGGCCAGCCGACAACCAACCCTGGGGCCATTCGCGGCTGGACAAGGGACTTGCATGGGCAATTCACCGACTCATGGACCGTTTCGCATTGAAAGGAGGCCATCGGATGACTGGCCATCTATGCCTGCGGTTAATGGTCGACGAAGAATTCGATGCTAACAATGTGCGCTATGTAACGCATATTGCTGGCTGCACTCAAGGCACGAACGCTGTCAAGCATCTTCTGCAAGAACCGTCACCTTCGTTAATTGATGGATACTTGGGGGTTCTCTCGTCACAACCGGACGATACATCCGCGGACATAGACAGAAAACGGATGCAGGCTAGAGCAAGCATATCAGCGGTCTCACGGCATCAATTCAGCTTCTATGATACGCTTAAACAATGTGATGTCCGGAGAGTTCTTCCCTCTCTTTACCCAGTTGCCCAACAACTCGACCATTTCGTCGGCCAGGCAAGCGATCTCTTACTGTTCTGGAAGGACCCTCGTTTCTCGGTCCTTGATCCGCTGCCATGGTGGTGGAATGCACATATCTATCAACCACTGAAAGAGTTGGAATTGGTGTTGGGCAGGAAAGATGTCAAGAGACTGTAGGAGTGCCCACTTCGACCATTTGTGCCTTTCCCACACCTTTACTTTTTCTTTCTTTTAGGTTTTATTTATTTTTTCAAATATTTGTCATAGGATTCACCTTTAGATATCTGAATATCTCTGGGATATGGGCATCAGAACCTTGCAGGATATTATAGAGAGCACTGGATGTCATCTTCAGGAATTATTCACTATTGCACGTTGTCATGAACGCATAAAATGAACGAACACCTTAACGAACTGAGATTATGATACGAAAAATGGAATTTACTTGGATGAACTTCCGGTTTTATCGGTATGCTATTCAACTATTTCAATGTAGACCATAATGCATGGTAGTCATGTTGCCGTGCTTCCAACAATACTCTGTGTACGTGGGTGGGACGGTTGAATTACTACAAAAAGTAAAGTATACGGTCGAGCTCAATTAAGTCATTAAAATCATGAATTCTCACAGAACAAACGTTATCAGTAGCCACAGTATTACCTATAAGTTTACTTCTCTCCCGATATAGCTATTGTTTACCGATCCCGATTCAGTATAGGTCTGTCAACTGTAATTCGGCCAGCACCATGTCTGGATAACACAGTACTGTGATAGTAAACTTTACACTGGCGGTTATTACACACTGCAACGTCAGCAGAAGATCGAGGGTATCTCTGACACCGTCAAACGAGGAGACTTGGTTGTCGATACCGATATTGTGGTATAGAACAACAGCCTTGGCATTACACTCAACCCCCGAGTGGAGGATTGGCCAGTTATCTAAGCTTAGCTGCTTTTCAGTTTGATTAAAATACTAACGATGACGCGCCCGTTGAAACCTTCCAGGTCATGATCCGCCCATCGGACTTTTTCACGGCCAATCCATCGCTGGACGTACCCTCCAACCAGAACGACGCATCGCGGGTGGTTCAGTCGGAATGCTGCCGAAATGCTCAGCTTTAAGTAAGCATTGGACATAGATTCGATGTCTGTGTATATGTAATGAATTTCTTACGGTATTCTGAGTTATAACAAGAGTTTCTTCACACGTCATTGCCGAGGAAAGAGAATATAGACTTGATCGAGTTGAGCTTGACCCGAGTGGTGATACTGAAGAGGGTGGTATACAAGAGACACTTGAAAAGCAATCGCTCCGAGCCGTGTAAGACATGAGCATAATCAGAATACGTATTCTCGGTCAGGTTGTATAGAGGCTTTTCTTTATCTATGATCATAAAAGCCGAAAACTCGCTTTATCCAACAGCTTTGTTGTAAGGGAAATGCTGGAAATACAAACATGTGCGTATGTGCATTCGTATGATGTGAACATGTTTCCATTTATTGTTCTTCACTGATACCTAACCCAAAAAACCCAAACATGGCTTCTGTGTAACTTGGACTTGCCATCACTCCTCTGGTAACTCCTGGTACTGCGCCAGGTATCATCTTGAATCTACCTATGAGGGTACCCCCATGCCTGGATTGCAGCAGACCAGATCTTTTCATGGATATCCATTGCCCTATGCTCTTGCTGTCCAAACTTCCATTGCTTTTCGCCTTTTGGACCTCCATGCTGAGTTATGAAATTTGCAACGGCACCACGACACTCAGCCTCAGTGGCTGCAGAGCCAGTTTTGTCGAATTGAATCGTGATGTTGTCTTTGCCGCCTAACTGCTTGATCAAAACTAATTGTTTCTTGCTGGGTACCCATTTGATCATGCCATGGAACTGTGCACGGCCTTGTACGAAGGATCTAGAGTGAGATTTAATTAGTTGTGAGGTGGCTCTATAGGTGTGGTTTATATGGATATGGTTTCAAACAAACCATAGGAAACACGACCGAGGGGGAAAAAAGAAAGAAAAAGTCAAAAGAGGGAGCAGCGGATGTAGACAGGCACATTCGGTAGAGTGCTATACCTGAACAAGCAGAGAGGTTCGAATTTCTCGCTGATTTCAATTAAACATTGTGACATGCTCTGCTGGACCGAGAGGGCATTTCCTGACTTCTTCTAAAAGGCCATGAGTTTCCAAGCGCGAGCGAAGCCCCCAAGTTATGGAGAGAGAGATTGCATACGGGGTCATGTCCTTGTCCACCATCAAACTTGGACATTCCAGCACGCCATTTCCACTGACGGTTCCTTTCGTCGCCCGGTATTGTCGTCCAGTCGTCGCCGTCATTCAGGACGAGAACACCAATTTCCGAACTCGAGTCGATGAGGATCCCTGTTTTCATGCATCGAGCCACACGATGCCCGCTGAGATCGTAGAACTTGAAATCAAATGATGCGGAGCTGTATTCCTGCAGTTGTCGCACAATCCGCGTAGCGAAGGAGGTGCAACGACCGGCCGCCCACCAGGTCCGGATGAAGGAGGTGGACTGGTCCTTGGTCAGGTCATCTATCTTGATCTTTTTTTTAAGAAGATTTTTGTCCTTGAGAATGTTCCCCCATGGCTCGCCAGACTTGTTGACAAGATATTCTCCCTGAAGAAAGTTGGAATATGGGCCGTCGTTGAAGGCTTCCTCCCAACACTCCTGTGCCTTGCGTCGAAGGTTATCGATGTTAGATGCCATGGCTTGGACGGTGTGAAGAAGAGTGTGTGGTGAGAATGATGAAAAGAAAGGAGTTCGGGGTTACTTGGTCTGCCATCTGGCAGCCTTATATACAATCGCCATGAGTATTCGCAGACCAGAAAAGGCTGCTGGCTTCCCCTCTCTGCATTCTCGGCTTTCAAACAAATAGGCATGTCCATTTCGATTGCTAATGCATACATCATTGACACCCCACCTCCTAGATTGATTGGATTTACTATGTGATAGCCTGTGCGCATACAGACCAGACCCTTGCAACACTAGTCTATATGATAAAACTCTATAGTAATTGATTCCAGCATGCACTTATGCCCAATATATCACCCGACTTTAGTCAAGCAGAGGTGCGAAGCTGAATATTGAGTTTATGATTTACATGCACCTGAAATCTACCATTGTGCCCATCTACCCCCCGGGTAGGAAACCAGGGATTTTCTCATGAGCTCCAGCGATGCGATCATTGGGCAATGTGTAATATCAAATATCAAACTTTCTATCAATGCAGTCTGTAGTATCCTATGGAAACCCACCTTCAGCTCGTATCATGCCATGGATGATGGATACTTCTCGCTAGTAAAATATGAGGCAACTATCTAGTTGCCTTCACAGGCGGCTTAAATTAATGAAAAAACACATTAGGGTGATTTTTACCGCTATTAGAAATCAAATTCTATTATGTTACATTTTGATATTAACTTTTATAGATAGTCAGTCCAGTAGCCAGGTATGTAAGAATGGTATTATATTGCCTTGATTTTGCACTTTCCCCTTTGTTTGAAACGAGATTTCGTGTATGTAAAATGATCTTCAGTTCTTGGCGCATTTTTACAATTTTTGAGCGCTATCTTTAAAAACTCGCTATGTTCAAATACTTATAACTCAACCACTCTTCATTCTTTTGTCTTTATAATAAAATATATAAAAGAGAGTAAGTTAAAGAGTCTATAGTATAAAGGAAAATTAATAATTCAGAAGTATGAGCTTTATATTATACTATATATCTCTCTATTTAATCGAGATTTTTTAACTATATTTAGTTTATTTAACACAAAAGTCTTTCTACTTTGCATATTGCTGATGATAAAACTTTAATCAGAATTCAATTTAATAAAGAATTGGTTTAGTTATAAGCGTTTGAAAATAGCGCACAAAAACTGTAAAAATGCGCCAAGAACTGAAGATCATTTTGCATACGCTAAATGGACATTCACCTCCATGAACCCCGCGTGGCCATGGCGCGCTGAACAACTGGATATGACACGTTATAAGGGGCATCTATCCTACATGACCCACAGTCAACATGCATGCGATCGGTTTAGTCCTTATAGTGGCTGGCTCTCAAATTCTCAGGACCAGAATGCAATACTAGTATCTCCTTAGGCCACATTCTGCAGTTAGTCCCATTCGTCGCCCGTTTTCAGCTTCACTGTCCTTTGAAAGTGAGGCAAAAGAGATACTCGACGGGTTGACAGGCGTACGAAGAATCTTATAGTGTCGATCATTGGTCTTCTAGTTCAGCTGAGCGATCTTCTCAACTATGGTGGATTCCGCCCCGCTGTCTGACGTGTTGAGGGGGTTAGCTTCTATTCTCAGCCCTTGGTATTCACAATGAAATGCGCTGGAGCCATATTGATCCCCCATTAGCTCTTAACGACGAACATTATGCAGCCCAAGATGGTCCCTCGCACAGTCGTCTACTACCAGACGACTACCGTCCGACTCGACGATCTTGTTGCATGCATCGACAGCCAACCCAGCAAACAGTCTGCAATCACCCGCCTCATCATAGGCTGCTTCCATCTCCGAACCAATGGATACTTGCACTAAATGACTAACCCCCGGATCATGATCACATCGACCACATCTAGCCAAACATGAAAGCCCCCCAGGAGAGGGGGGGGCAAAGTTATGGCCATGGTAGGCGGCGAAGCATAAGGCAGCTTACAGGTGTGAGATGTGGAGACCTCCTTTGAAGAGGGTGACGATACGCTCTCCACCATGCTGAAGGAGTACAGAGTTTATGGAATATTTCAGTTCGGTGCCTGGGGGGAAGCAGCGTCCCGTATGAGTGGAGTGTTGTGGTTTCGAAGAACCTGGCCCGGATTGGGTGAGCCTTGGGATAGATGATATGGATTGGGGTGCAGGTGGTACATCTAGCAACAAATCAACCAAATTTTATAATCTTATAGATAATTTAACCATGTTAGTTATGCAAACTTGAGCCCCTCGAGAATTACATCATTTGACCCAAGTGACACAACGTTAAAAATACGTATACTAATGCAGCCAGCCCCGTAGGCCGCCCCTCCATCATTCTTCGTCTTATATGTACATTACCTACGTAGGGAGGCAGCCCAGGATGGTGGCTGGCCTCTGTAATCTGAGTCTGAGCAGGTATTCAATGTCACGGAGTAGAGTGGTATCCT